TAAGTAATCACCACGATATATATAAAAATATATTCTTGTAACAGAATTAGTCCTCGCTATTGAAATGCTATTTCAATTGTATTTATAATTATACAGGAGAAAACACCTTGAGAATAAATACCATTTTCAATTTTTTTTGAGGATGACTGATACAAAAATCACAGAAAGCACAGGACTGTCTCAGGGTCCTGCAGTCTCAACACTTGAGGTGACATTAAAGGTGTGATTTGTAAACTTTGTGCCACAATAACTGCACATTAAGACATTTCAGGAAAGAACTCATACAGCAGGAAGTATACATTGTGTTCTTTAATAAAAGTCCAAGACTCAAGAATAGGAAAAGATTGAAACAAAGTTGTCTTGGGCATCCAGCCACTCCTGTTCATCCCCTTGGCCAGCTTTCAGTTTCCATTTCTCCTCTGATCCCGGACTGGCCTCCACTTTACCTCCTCTCTTCCTGAATCTTGCCCCTAAATTCTCTCTCATGGCTCCCTGGCACTAGGGAGGATGTAATAAACTAATTCACATGATGATGTTGGTGACTGACGTTACTCCTTTCATGGCTGCTGGCAATTCAGAAGGGATTCCCAAGGAGAGAATGGTGCTCAAAACAGAGAGGTGAACTGACTGCTCGTTGATTTGACATAGGAGGGCCGGGGTATACCTGCCTTTGGTCTGCAAACCTAAACAACGACATAAAGCTGCCTTGATCAGGAATTCAAAAAATGGTGATGGAAGTAATTCAGTTATAAATCTTAAACTTACTGAACATGCAGTGTGTTTTTTAAAGTATATAACATGTGCTTTTAGCCTACTTTTTCAACAATCCAATGAGGATTTTTCTATTTACAAGTGAGAATGTGAAGCTCAGAGAAGTTTAGGACTTTGTCCAGGGTCACCAGCCAGGAAGCGCAGAGTGGAGAACTGGATCCACGTTTAACCACTCTGTGCTATTGCCTCCCAGATCGAAGGCAGCAGAGCCCAGCGGGGAAGAAGGACCCCCTCTGAAGCCAGGTGATTACTGTTCATGAGCTGTGTGACCTCGGACAAATTACTTACCTTCCTGGCGCTGCCATTTGCTCATCTACAAAATGGATGTTAATAATGGTAATCCCACCTTCTCGGGCTGTTGTAAGGATTAGCACATTTAAAACAGTATCTGGCATATAACAGAAACTTTTACAATAGTACTTAAGATCATTATTTGTTAATATGATAAACCAAATTCCATTTCAGCAAAACTTTCTGTATTATAGTTTCCTAGACTTAACCAGAGAGTCACCAAAATGGCGTTCCAAACCACAGAATCCCTATTTAACCCAAGGATTTAACTTGCTGTGATAAAAATGTGTTACAGAACTGGTGGCACACAAGAGCAATTTGAAATATCTTTACCTAAAATTACTCTTGAAAACGTACTGCAAATTTAATCCTCATACAGTATTTCCATACATCACTGTCCTTAAGAGGGGTTCCAAATTGATGTGCATAGATTCCTAAAAAGCTTCATAAATCATATGAAGGCCAATTTTAATATCGCAATGAGCCTTAGAGAAATTACACCAATTTGGAACCACATATCATATGGGAGCGATATCCCTGAGACCCTGTGCTAACTCCTAGTCATTGTCAGGTCCCAGGGGCCTCCTTTCCCCTGTCATGTGCAGCTGGGCTATTTCATGCACTGAGCTCATCAGCTGTCAACCAGCAAGTTGAAGCTGGGTCTAGTCAGGCTGGTGTGTGGATGTTTGACCTCTGAGAACACATCCAAGAGCTGTACAGGAAGAGATGCTGCTGACTTAAATCAGTCTACCCAGCCTAAGACTGTCCTAATGGCTACTTTCCAAATAAAGAGAGATCGAGCTATCAAATGAGACAGAGATAGAGCATACACTACATTACAGCTGTCAAATTCTTATTTGACTATTCAGGAAGCAGTCATAGAATATTAAGTAGATCTCTCCCTTCTAATAAGCATTCATCTTGAAGATGTTTTTAATGACTTGATTCTTTAAATGTGTAAGTGCACACAAACACATTAGGTCCCACTGGAAGGAATTCTGCCTGAGTAAGGACTGTGGAATTACTTTGGGGGTCAACTTCCTGCCCCATGGAATGCAGTGGGAACGTTCCCACAATAGGAGGGGGCCTCTCCCAGGGCACTCCATGCAGGAGGCATCTGCAGAGGTTTTATGCAGACAATGCCTGCCTGCTGTGGCCTGAGATGCTATCAGCATCTCCAACAGCCAAAGGCCACTGTGCCCTCAGCAGGTCCCAATTAGATTACACAAAACTTATTTGCAGGATAAGCAAAGAAGAGTGAGTGTGTGAGTGTGTGTGTGTGTGTGTGCACGCGTGCACACACATGTGTGCGCAGCAGAACACCATAAGACTTCTCACTGTGGGGAGGAAATCCAAACTTGTATTAACTTGAGCTTACAATATTCCCATGGAGAGGATGCATACCAAGAAAATAAAATGTGAGCATACTTTGAAACTTCTTCAAGGAAGTTTTCTCAATCAATTTCATGAGGTTCAGGGAAACTTAACCACAAGCTGACCAGCAGCAAATGGAGCCAAATTCATTTGTTCACTCAACCAGTATTTTCAGGAAGCCTCCTGTGTGCCAGGCACTCTTCTAAATCCCAGAGAGGTAGCAGTGAACCGAAAGCCACAATCCAACACTCGGCTGCTTCACTCAGAACGGTGAAGATATTCATCAGTTCAGATCTGAGTACCAAGCTGTGAGCTCCAGACCACGCCCCTTCTGAGTACCAGACTGGGAGCTCCAGACCACACCCCTTCATTTATCACTATGTACCGGCACCTAGAACAGAGCATGGGAAATAGGCGGTGTTCCATACATTTCTTGAATTAACACACATGAATAGGCATTTGGCCCTGAATACCTTGAAAACTTCATGAAACTCTTTGGAGACAAATCAAAACATAGTTTATCCAGTAATTCACCCAATCTGAGAGGGGATATAAAGGTGAATAAGATGTGGTGGCCTCAGCCTCAGAGCAGCTTCCATTCTGGCAGAAAACCAGCAAAGGCCAAAGCACAGAGGTGCAGAGCTGGCAAATGTAACAAACTGCCGGTATTCTGATGTGACTGGAGCAAGCGGGAGGGCAGCAGGTGGAGAAGCTGAAGAGATGGGCAAGGCTGGCACACAGGACCTAAGAATTTGAATTTTTATCCTGACAGTGAAGGGGGATGGGGTGGGGACGGCGACAATAATGGAATTTTGGCAGAGGAGTACTAGGATTAAATTTGTGATTTGGGAAGTTCACACTGGCTACAGAGTGGAGGGAAGACTGGAGGGAGTCAAGGCTGGCTAAGAAGCTACCGCAGTTGTCCAGGTGAGAACTGATGAGGCCTTGATGTAGGCAGTGACAACTGGGTAGCATGGGAGGTGATGATTTCACGAGCCCTGGAAGTAGAACGGGCAGGACTGTGTGAGGGACTGGGTGGAGAGAAAATGTCAGTTTCCCCTCTAAAGTAAGAGACACACTGCAGAGACTACGGCCTACGGGAAGTGTGCGTCCTTGGAGGCTGAAATGAGGGGACAAGGAAGAGGCTCAGGTCTCTGGCGTGTGTATTTGCTGTTATTCAGGCCACAGAGCCTTCACACAGATGCTCAGAATTCTGTGGTCTGGTCCTGTCCTAGACCTTGTATTATACTGCCATCAGTTCCCTATCATTTCCCAATTCTTTACTCAGGCTGCTCCCTCTGCCTGGAATGCCCTTCCCTGCCTTCATCTCTGTGGGTCAAAATCCATTTCAAATGTCACCTCTTCCAAAAAGCATTAGATTCTCTCAACCTCCAAAACTCTTTTTATCAAATTTCTTTGTATTTTCCCTAAGTGTCTTGATTAGGTTGTAAATGAGCTCCTTGAAAGTGACAACTTGCCCTGACTCATCTTCCCATCTCCTCCAGCCTCAGGCTTTGTCTGTAGCAGGACTCAATACATCTTTGCTGAATGGAAACAAAGAGCCAACAAGATGACGCACTTGTCTGTGAAGTGGGGATGTCACTGCCACCTACTTCATAGGGTCGTTGTGAGAGCTTGGCACATAAGCGCTCAATAAGTGATATCATCTACAGCATCATTTCTAAGAATAAGTTTCATTTGTTCTTGGCCTAAATTAATACTACGGCTCTGTCTCCTTTTCATGAAGTCAAAGGCTAAGGGCACTGCTTTAGAATTCCTGGGAACTGTCCCCTGGAATCAGTAAGTAGGGAGCCACTGTCTGGCTCACTGGGGCACATCCCAGCAAGTTCCCTCTCTGGAGGCGTCTCATGAATACTCTGGGTCTTTTCCTTTTGGTCGGAGGGGAACAGTGCTCGGCTTTTGATCTCTGATTCTGGGAAATGGGGTGACTCCAGCATTTACTTCTTCTCCCCTTGGTCCCTGAGGTTGACTGCTGAAAAGGTCAGAAACAGAGCCCCAGACCTGGGGAGGCGGGATGTGGGTCATTTGGCCTGGCTATTCTGAAAAGAGTGAGCAGGCAACTGTGACAGTCCTTGAGTTTTATTTTTATTTTTAAAATCTACTTTGAAGAAATTTGTGAGTCCCAAAGGAGGCCTTATATGTAATTTTTTTTCTTTAGAATTTCCTCTAATACCCATTAGGGAGATTTAACATATTCCAGATTTAGCACTTTAATGGGCTCTTGTTCCTGCCTTCATTTTTTCCCATTTTTAATTTCTCCTCTGGTTTTTAATTAGCTATTTCTGGGATTACGAAGTGTGCAAATTCAACAGCAAAATTTCTGGAAAGTCTTTTAATTTACATGTGCGTTTATTCTGATAGTGTCACAAACCCGCATGAAGCAGAAGGTAAGAGGGGCCCTGTCCCAGACACGGATTCTCGCGTCAGCAGACTGTGTTCGCCATGATGGCCCAGCAGGGCCACTGGACCACTGCTATAAAATCAGCCCCCCCGGAAGGTGGAGGGTCACTGGTTAGCACCATCTTGGCGTTCTGTCTCTCCAGGAACCTCGGACAAGTCTAATCTGGAGCTTATCACACTGACATGTACCTGTGTGGCTGCCACCCTCTTCTGGCTCCTATTAACTCTCTTCATCCGAAAACTGAAAAGGGTAAGAAATTTCCGATAAATTCTATGCTCCTTTGTGGGTAATCTTCTAAAATGCCCATCTGATGTGTAGAGCAGGCACTAAACAAATGTTAGGTCTCCCTCTGCCCCTTCCCTCTCATTCCTGTCTCTGACCTGGTGAACACTAAAAAGTGAATCATTAAAATGTCTCTCAGCCATAAAGTGGGGTATTCAAAAGAAAAGCTAGAGCAATGGGCAGATGAATATTTCCCAGGGACAGAAAGGATTTTTTTTATCTAAAAATATGTAATAAAGTCTTTAACTTAAATTCAGCATGAGACCTGTGAAGCCTTCATTTTCTTAGCCTTACTCTCTCCTTAGAAACAAAAAGAAAAAAGCAGAATATAGACCCACCACTGACTTGTCTCTCATAACATGGAAGCAAAGACACGCATTGCTGTTTGTACTCACCTGAACCCTGTGATAAAATTAGGTTCTTTAGAGTGGGAGGTTCAGGGTGGAGTTTGGGACATCAGATTCCAGAATTAGGCCTGTACCACAACTTGCTTCTCTGAAGTTCAGTGGGGAAAGAGCCAACACTCATTCATTCATTCATTCATTCATTCATGCCTCAAGTATTTACTGTGTGTCTGCTCAGGGCTGAGTGCCAGGCTCTCTGGTGACAGTGGAGAGCAAATGCTAGAGTGTGCAGTCTGGGGTGGAGACAGGCTTGAATCAATTACATAGACAAATTTAAAGTGTAACTAGAGTTAGGTGACTAAAAGATGCATAATCAAGGTGGTCAGGCAGAAAAGGAAAGGAAAGTGTTGCTGGCAGAGAGAAGAGCATGAATGAGGCTGGGGCAGGGCAGAGGGACACCATGAGACGAGAGGTGGCAGAAGGCCAGGTGGCTGCAGCAGTGGGAACAGGGATGGATGAAGCAGGAGAGGAGTGGACGGTAGCCGTGCCTGACCTGGCAGGGAGCTGTAGGCTATAGTACAGAATTTAGTTGTATTCTAGAAGTAACAGCGAAGGGAGGGGTTCTTAAGCAAATGCAGGAGATTGTAAGTGTGAGAGATTTGTGTCTGCAAAGATTATTTGGGCGGCTGTGAGGGGAATGGACCAGAGGGGCAGGAGTGAATAGACAGGTGCCTAGCAGATGGCTTTACAGCAGTCCAAGTAAGAAATGATGGTAGCTTAGTCTAAATGATCAGTCAAGATATATTAGGAGGTAAAATCAAGAAAACCTGAAGTGTCAAAGAGGCCTCCTCAATGTCTAGAGACTTGTTAGCCCTTATTAATATGCCAGGTCTTGTGTGAGGCTCTTTAAGAAAGTATCTCAGGTAATCCTTCAAAAAATACAGAGGTAAATATATTATTGTTACCATTTTACAAAGGGAGACCGAAGCTCAGAGAGTTAGAGTAACTTGTCCAGAGTCAAACCGCTAACCAAAGTTGGAGCTGAGTTTTGAACTCAGGTTGTTTGACCTCAGACTTGCTATTCCAAACGAAAATGTGTACTTTATAGTGTTAGTATGGGAGGCAAGGCTAGCAGCCATCGCCTGCCATCAGGCTTTGCAACTGCTTTAGAAGGAAACAAAGGTCAAACAATAGCATTTGAAAGGGGAGATACCTCATTTAGGGAAATGGATCTAACAAAAGGAAAACTTGCCAAATCTGTAAGGGAGGTACAAAGGCTACAGGAGTTCAAAGGAGGAGAGGCGGAGAAAAAACTTCAGAGAAAGCAAAGTTTAGAGACAGACTTTGAAGGTCCTGGCTGGAAGGAAAGAAGCAGAAAAACACAGCCCACCCTGCTCCTTCCCACTCCCCAGATTAGGGAAGGAGTCTGGTTACTCTGCATATAGGAGCATAGTGGAAATAAAACTGGACAGACAAATTGGAACTAAACTGAACAGGTGTCTTATACTTCTAAAAATCTATGAAATTTTGATGTCAATAAGAAAGGATGAGAGAAAGAGATTATTATCTCAATAACAGAACGCCTATAAAATTTGACAAGTGAGTGGTTGTGGGAGGCAAAGAGGAACAAGGCATCAAGAACTTGTTTCCGGGCCGGCTGAGTGGCTCAGTTGGTTAAGAGCTCGCTCAAGAGTGTGAGCTCTGAGCAACAGTGGTTTGATTCCCAGCCCGAGCTGAGCAGCCGCTGAGCTGCCAACAGGTGGCAGGATGGCTCAGCTTAAAAAAACCAAACAAACAAAAAAGAACTTGTTTCCATGTGGTTTTTCCAACCACAATGTAAATTCCTCATTGATAAAGGCTATTTTATCTTTTGATCCTACCCCTGCATAGGCCAGTGTTAGAATTATAGCTAACATTTACTGATGCTTACTATCTGCCAAGCACTATTCTAACAGCTTTACTTGGGTTATATCATTTGATATTCACAACCACCCTGTGAGATAAGGAACTGCATTATCACTATTTTACAGATAAGGAAACTAGGCTTAGAAAGGTTAAGCAATTTGCCCCACATGATATGCTGGTCAGAAGTCGAGCTATGATTCAAACCCAGGCAGTGAGCCTCAATGCCGGGGCTCTGAAGCACTTAGCTGTGGAATATCCCTGCCAAGTACCTGGTAGCTGCTCAATGTTAATGTCAATTGAAAGAATAAATATCTGTCAACTAAGATTCTACTATCGTACTCTCATCAAAGTCCTTACTTAAGGTTTTGGCGTTTCCTCTCATTTGCCTGACGGAGAAAAGCCATCAAACTCCACAGGTGCCACATGGGGAGATTGTTTGCACTGCCTGCCCCCAGCCCCACCCGCCTCTGTATCAACACCACGGCCCACTTCCCTCACAGCCAGCAGAACCCAAGATGCCCCGCACCAGGCTCGGCAGTCCTACACGCTCTGAAGACCGGAGCTTGCTTCGATGGCCTTGGCTTCATTGGCCATCGACAAGTTTAGTCACAGAACCTACTCCAGCAGCTTCTCTAACGCACACCCAGCACCCTGCCATAGGCATGTCTGCTCCTCTCGTCTTCCAGACTCGCACGAGTATCTGACAGGCTGGGCCCTTACAGTCTAACACCAGTGGCAAAGGCAGTTCGTGACAAACGTGCTCTGTATCTTTCTCTGTTTTCCATTCTTTGTGGAGACCAGGCAAATCTTTCTGCCTTGAGCTATTTGTCACACAGTTTAGCGATAATTTTTGTGAGAGACCGATTGCAAGTGATGGATGAGGTGAGCTGTGACAGCCCAGAACAGGGTGAGTAAGGGCTGAAGAATGTGGGTGGGTGTGAAATGGTGTGTGTGGAGAGGTTGTCTTCTCTACTGAACTCTGATCTTGTGGAGGGAAAGGCACTGAAAGGAAGGGCCCTAAAACTCATTTAAATGAAGTTTATATAACTGCTGGGCAAGAGTTACCAAATCCACCTTATATGAGCAAGCATATACTTCCTTTCTGGTCTGCCCACAGAAATGCAGTCAATTCTACAATTAACAATAACATGGGTACAACTGTAAGACACTAAAAGTAAATCCAGTTATTTATGATCTGAAATAAAGGGTATTTTCTGGGATGGATTTGCATGGCCAAGATAGAACAGGCACTTGAAGGCAGATACTGGACATCCTACCAATAGCCAAACAAACTTGGAATGTGGCTGTAAGTCTTACTCCTCGGCCTTTGAAATAATCAACTTCTATTTCTTACTGAAGGTAATCATATTCTCATCTCACTAATAGACTCTACAGTCTTTTCAGGCAGCTGCAGCCACTAAGAGGCCAAGCCTCCTGAGTATATTTAAACACTTAATATGAAATGTGTCTCTCAACTGTCCCAGGGACCCTGGGCTTACTTTGCCACCTCTGGACTTTCCTGCAAATGTAGAAAAGCAACAATCATGGACCCCACTGTTGACCCATTTGTAATATATATGCCTGCTTACACAGAATGACCACGGAAAGTTATTTTTAGTCATTGTTTGGGAAGATTTTATAAAAATGCTTTGCATTTTTTAGAGAAGGACTATCATATGCTAATTGTTTAAGAACAAGCAAGAAGTTCACTGGGGAATCTGAGTGCATTTCATCTGGGATAGGATGGTGGAGCTGGTACTACAGAAACGTGGTGTGGGAACAGCAAGGAGAGGTTCAATGGCCATCACATGCTCAGGTGTGACGTGCACACATGTACACAGAGGGGTACCTTCTGCACCCAACCACACAGTTTCAACCAGATGAACCTAAATAGCAGCAGATGTCACCAAGTCTTATTTTAAATCAGATGTCAGGGGTTTTTGTTTCCTTGTTGATGACTTTGAGATCTCTTTATTTCTCAGTCTTCTTCTGAAATAAAGACTGACTACCTATCAATTATCATGGACCCAGATGAAGTTCCCCTGGATGAGCAGTGTGAGCGTCTCCCATACGATGCCAGCAAGTGGGAGTTTGCCCGGGAGAGACTTAAACTGGGTAATGTATTTGTTCAACAGATTCCTAAACCCACACAGAGCCTGCTACATGCCAAACACTGCTCTGAGGGATGCAAGGAGGACTACACCCAGGATTCTACCCTCCAGCTGGTGATAGCCTAGCAAGGGAGACAGGCGCAGGCATACATGGTTCTATTAGAATGCTGTGACAACAGTTCAGGGAGACACGGGTACCTGTTCGTTCTTTCAACAGTTCTCAAGCACCTTCTCTGAGCAACAGACACAAGTCATTTGAGATTCTTCCCTCTAAGAATGAAGGAGATCTCCATAAAAGCCAAGAAGCTTAGGAGAAGTGGGGAGAGATTAGTTCCAAAGGGAGCCTTCCAAGTACAGGCATTCTTAAGCAATGACAATTTTGAGGAGTTAGAGATGTGTGACCTAGAACACAATTCGGGATGGTGAGGAACAGTAAAACCAAACATCTGGTAAAAGAGTTGGTGCTCTTCAAGGCTGCGGATCTAAAAATGCTCTGCACAGACCTACCAGTTACATACTCTAAAGTTCCCTGGGTGTTCGAAATGTCCAGACAAAAAAGAAAGGCCGAGGGGGCCATTTAAGTCTCATTTTTGAAGAGCAAGGACTTGTTTTCCAGGTAACATGGATGCTGTAAACACCAGGCAGATGAGGATTCCCTCAGCTTATCCCCAAGTTCCTCCAGCTGGACATCACAACGCAAATTAATCTCCTGCCCAGTTGATACAAAACAATGGGAGTCTCAATTACTCCCACCCAAAATATTTGGATTGTGGCTTCTCCAAGTTTTCCACTCCCTCCTAGTATGCCAGAGTCATTAATTAGTAGTGGAACTAGGAAAATAGATCATGCGTCCAGTGTGCCTGGAGCTTGTCGCTCAGTGTAAAGAGCCTGTTGTTCCAAATTCAAGGCATTGCCCCCCTTTACCCCCCATTGCAGACTATATCGAGGAGGGGGTGTGAGGCAACAGAGAGGGAGAAATGGCTTTTCTTGTTCTCTTGGGCCTTGAAATGATTCCATTTACATTTCTTCCTACATGATAAAGAATACTTGGCCCCAAGAGTATGTTCTCTTTGGCTTGGGGAAGAAAACTGAAAATTAGTAAAAAGCTGGAGAGACAAGCAAAAGCCAGTAATGGCTGCTGACAGGGGAAAAGAAAACATCTACTAAATTTAGAGTGGTTAAGGGCAGGTGGCACAGTAGATGAGTTCCTTCTGCAAGCCTAAGTTATATGGCAGTTAGCCCAGCCTCTTCGGTGACCTTGGCAGGGAACATAGGATAATTTTCCCACAACCATAAGCCATTCTCAGGCCATGCTGCTTTCCAGAGTTATTAGTCACAATCAAACATGCTTCTTCCAGTAGGGCACTTGAGCTTTCCATCCCATTTCTTCATTCCTTGGCCTGGTGTCATTGTGATCCATAACACATTGAGGGAGATTGCTAACCCTTCTACCAGAACTCCCTGGGGGCTCTGTGGGTTTAGATAATCCCATTTCAGGAGATTCGCCTTGTTGAACATCTTTCTCTTGGTTCTTCTCCTTTCCAGAGTTGCCAGAGGCTATGATCTGGCTAATGTACACTGAGTGTCTTTGAGTGAGAGAAAGTGTGGCAAGTCAGCTGCCTTTCAGTCCAGAGTGTGGTTGCAAGAGCCAAGGAATACTCCTCCTACTGACGTGGGGGCAAAGGGGCCCAAGGGTTGTTTGTTTGTTAAGCCAAATAAATGACAGAAAGTAATCTGAAGCAATGTCTGGCAAGGGGAAGTAACCAAGAATATGTCTGAATGGATGGAGAGAAAAGGCGGGTTTGATGGGCAGAGCTGTAATGGGGTTCTAAATGCAGAGAAACGCACAGAACAAGCTGCTTCTGATTTCAGCTGTCTGCACTGTGGGTTACTGTTAGCAGCCCTGGTGAGAGAGGTCTGCGTTGACACTACCTGATAGGTATACAGATACAGCTGGAACTCGGGTCAAAGGTGTTGTTGCTACCACTAAAATTCCTGAAATCCTTTTCTTCAGTTTTCTTCAGTTTCTTCAAACTAACTGTTTGTTAGTGTCAGAGAGAAGTCAGCTCCTATACATTGATCACAGAAGTTGGGATAATGTCTGACGTTGTATCTTTCTATTGGAAAATAAAGTCAGAATTAGCTAATATGGGAAACAACACAGGGAGTCTGGAATTTGGTGAGTGGCTGGTGCCTGAGCTGGTGCCACCTCCGGTAAGATCAGCCCTGGATGCAGAGAGGGGTTCAGCCTCCCGTTGCCATGCACTCTCCCAGTGTCCCAGGGACCAGTCATTCTTGGAGGCAATTCCAATGCCCTTTCATTGTGTGACAATGACGGAGCACTTTTCCCAGCTAGTTAGTGGCATTTAGGTAACAGCAAGGAGGATTTCTAAGGGGAAAGGCGGATCAGGCCAGGTCAAGTTCAGTATGGATGGGCTTCCCTGAAACTGGAACCATGGGGCTGCCGAAAGATTCCAACACGTCAGATGATTAAAGAGCCTGTAATAGTTTCATGCTGTTTTGAGAGGCAGCAGTCAGCTTCCGAGAGAATAAAGGAAAAGACTGAGAGAAGCCAAGTGAGAACAAATTAATTCTCACTGATAGAAGCAAAATTCCCAAACGCTGGTTAAAATAAAGTGTGTTGTGACGGCTAAGAAGGGAATGCACGGAGGCCGAAGTGTGGAAAGGAAAGAGTCCACCTGCCCCCAAGGGGCCAGAGTGTTTACAGTATGTGGGGAGCCGTCCCAAGATAGAGATTATCTTACTATATTTCTCAGGCTCCGGATACTTTTCAAATGAGATGGTAGAAGGCACTTCAAAGGGAAAACGTTGTTCTTTTACTCTAAAAAGGCAAGGAATAAGCTCCCAAACAAATGCACCAATTTCTCCAAGTCTGGAGAAGGTGGCTGCCAGTGCTGTTTCCATACGTGAGCTCCATGTCCAGCACCTTCAGGGTTCACCCGAGGCTCTGCTATTAAAATGAAAAGTCCCCATGCTGCTCTATCTCTTGGACAACTTTATCTGAGAAAGGAAGCACTGACTAGATCCCCACCCATCTTACATGGTACTACTCTGGGAGGAACAAGCTTTGTCAGTCGATGCAGATACAGGTGTGAGCAAAGGAAAAGCATGTGACCTCACCAGTGTTCCCCTCCTAAGGCAGGGTGTGTTCCTATGAGAGAGATGCAGCGACAGCTACACAGAGGCTCCTATGTTTACACTGGTCATGGAACTTTTCCCATGTCCTCAGCGGACGCTGAGGGTAGTGGGAGATACTAAGAAGAGGTAGGGTAAAGACATCTTTGCTCCTGAGTAGTTGTGTATAAAAGTAGAAAGGTTCTAATATGATGAAGAAACAGAAAAACTTTACAAAACATTACCAACTTTACAAGAACCTTAAAAAACAGACAAACAAACAAAACACTATGTCCTTCGGGAAAAGCGATTGGAGAAGGAGGGAGGACAGCGGGCTAACTAACTGAAGGCATGTTATCGGAACAGATTCTGAAAGAGACTTGGTTGGGTGAGGGGGCGTTGTGTTAAATTAACACTGTACCTACCAGGACTTAACTTTTAACCAGAGGCATTTTGTTGGCTTTCCCCTCACCTCCCAGAGTGACTTCTTTGGCTCACCCTTCCTTTTACCTTATCATGCCTGAGGTGTACCATTTCTCTACGTTCTCCTTAGCTACCTATTTCCTGCTAGTGCAAAAGGAAGTCCCCTGATATAAAAGGTAGCTGAGGTTTTCCAGGGGTGCCCTCCTCACAGAGCACCCCTGTCAAGGTCTCCATCTCACGAGCCCCTCTCGTCACCCAGGACTGTATGAGACTTGCTCTGAGCATCTCACAAATTCCCAAATGCTACTGTTCATCCTGCACTAATATACCAGGGACCATCTATGCACCAGGCACTGGGCTAGGTTCTGGAAGATTCAGACATGGTCACTGCTTCTCTCAGGCGTCTCATGCAAGAGTGAGGAAAAAAACATGTGAACAGTCGTTACAGCACAACATAATGGGTACCATGAAAGAAACCTCACTTTGTTATTGCATTTGGCAAACATCTCTCTGTGGCTGAGACACATTACCACTGGTGGTTGACGTGCTCATGTGCTGAACCATGATTTGTAATCATCTTGTGAAGACATGTTAGAAATACTGAGAATGTCTTGCCTGGCAAGGAAGTCAGAGCAATGCCTTAGTGCTTATTTTTTAGCTATAAAGCATTATTATAACCAATAGCTATAACCACTATTCTCAATTTCTCCCATTTCTGCTGAACACAGATCAGAAGAGATGACCCCAAGTGGCAAGAAAAGGGACTTAGGTTAAATACAGGGCAATATTCTTGCTAGTAACGTTATTACAAAGAGAAGAGACCACCCAGGTCTCTCCTATTGGTAGCCCCACCTTCCCAGGATTTTGTGAAGAGGAAAGTGGCCAACCACCTATATCAAATGTCTCCTAGGGACCCAGCCTAGCTGTAAGGAAAAGGGCACCTCAGAAGTAAAGACTTGGAAGGCAGATACTCCAGAAATGTGTCCTTTACTTTGACTCTTTTGGGGTCAGTTCATTGGAGATTCCATTCAAAGCTACATGCCTCACACATGCATAGGAAAAATGGCACTTCATTCCTAAAAGACTTAAGCTCGCCCTGCTGACGTAGCAAACAAACCAATGTCTTCTTTTCATTGTAGGCAAATCACTTGGAAGAGGGGCTTTTGGAAAAGTGGTTCAAGCATCTGCATTTGGCATTAAGAAATCGCCCACGTGCCGGACTGTGGCTGTAAAAATGCTGAAAGGTATGGACACCGTAGTTCGGCTTTCAACTGACCCATTACATTCCCTAAACATTGGTACAAGTTGAATATAGCCTAGGGACAGATAGAAGCTATTTCTGCTCTGGCCACAGAACTTTCTTCTAATGCTGGAAGCCCCTTTACTTCAGGATTTTAGATTAAGCCAGCAAGAGCTCAGCATAAACCTTGTAAATGAAACAACCCAGCATCATCCATGGAAAAATGATTCTGTCACCTCAAAGATCTTTCTCCCACCACATATCAGCCTCTAGACCCCCAGGGACTTAAGCCCATGGTAACCACAGGTTCAAAATTTTGGAATGATCCACTGTGACATTATAATGGAAACTTAGCTATACATCATAAATCCCGAAGGCTTAGCTGGGGCTTGACCTAACTAGAGAATAAAACTATGAAACACAACAACTGAGTTGATCAGAACCATAAACATACTTACATGACAAACTTACATTGTCAAGTCTCAACCATAAAGCATTTTCTTTTTAGAAATTAAAAACAAACAAAAACAAATTATCTTTCTAGTGTTGAAAGATACTACCGCTCTGTGAAGCACTGGAAGGCAGAGCCAACAGCAGTGTATGACCACTGAAAATGAAAATCAGTGAAAACTGTGTAAACCAAACATCTCAAAGACTCATAGGTCCTTTAAAGTGTAGCAATTGCTTCATTTCCTCATTCGTGATGTAACTTTCATGTTACTTCAGCACATTTTAAAGTCCCAAAACCAAATGAAACAGGACTAAAAACCCAAAGGGCAGTTTTCTGCTTTCCAGAGTCTCCAAGATATGACCAGGGGAGTCTGAGACTCAGGACACTATGCACCCAACCAAGCAGGAACCTAGCAAAGGCTCCAAGAGAAAAAGGGCCATTTGCTTAGGGGACTTCCAAGCTCTTCATCTTCTTCCAGCACTGACATGTCGTTACAGAAGTCCCATGTAATGATATTTTCCACCTCAAAAGGCTGTCTTTTTCAAGGGAAGGCTTTAATAAAACTGAAGAACCTGACAGTTCTACGCTGAAAGTAACCAGGAAAGGAGTTTTTGCATCCATAAGTCAGGACTTTTGTTCAAGGTGGACTACCCAGATGATGGCAGGCATTTCTGTGAGAATAGCTACATTCCAGAACCCCATCATGAACACCCCCACCCCAGATTCTGAAGAGGCACCAACATGGCTTCTATGTGAGAAAGCCCCAGACTAGATACTTTACTATATTAGGCTGAACCACTTGAAGCTGCCATTTTTCTTACTTTTCTCTCTACAGCCTTGTGAGATAGATATTATTATCCCAGTTTGCAGATGAAGAAACATGACTCAGAAATGTTAAATAGGGGCAGCCAGTTAGCTCAGTTGATTAGAGTGCAGTGCTCATACCACCAAGGTTGCAGGTTCGATCCCCACGCCCTCCACAACTAGATTGAAACAACTACTTGACTTGGAGCTGATAGGCCCTGGAAAAACACACTGTTCCCAATTAAAAAAAAAAAAGAAAAAAGAAAAGAAAAGAAAGATTAAATAGCCTCTGCCAGGCCACATGGTGCAGGAGTAAGGGTCTGAGTGCAAGTCTTCTAGCTTCGAGTGCAGTGCTCTTTCCCCCACAGCACAGTGCTACCAAAGAGGGGCTGCAGACCGCCTCCTCAAATGGCCCGTTGCTCCAACACCCTGAAAACAATCCTGGCCTGTGTTCCGGAGGTGATCTAGTATCCAACTTGGACAGATGTGAAACTAAATCTGGAAGCATCCACTTCCTCAGCTAGTCCCACTTCCCTGCTTACTAGCACACAGTATCTCCAGGACAGGCAAGTCTGCTGTCCATGCTTGTCTGTGTGGGTGCAAGGAACACCTGTGGCCCTGCCTATAAATGGAACAATCTGAGCCAAGGAGCCTGATTTCCTCTGGGCATAAAGGCACGGAGAGACTGATGAGTTTGAGGGAGGAAATTCTGACTTGAGATTTTTTAAAGGCCCAGAGAATCCACTCTATGTAGATTCAGAAATAGTGTGCTTCATATCTTTATAAATGCTTATCTTTTTTCCATCAGCCTTGATTGAAAAAAATTGCCACATCACCCATTATATAAAATTCCTAAAAACCATTTCCATTCAGCTTTCTTGTTTTTAAATGGGTTGGCCATCTGTTTCTAGGAGAAATTGAAAAGGCAGAAAGTCAAACAAAGGGCATGAGTCAGCAGCTCTTTCAAAGTGCCCTTGAGCAAAACCTTTAACCTTTTTGGGCTTTATGCCCACGTCTGAAATGAGAAGAGTAATCATGCTGTTTATTTATCTAACAAATATTTGTTGAGCATCTACTGTGAGCCAAGTCCAACCTCACTGGGAGGCTTCTATAGTTTATCTGATTATTAAAAAATGATTTGTGCTTATGAAATACCATGTCCGAATCTACCACAATGTTAGATGCACATCCTTTGACCCATCCCAGGACTGTCCTACAGAAATAACTGCACATGTGTGCAAAGATTACACACAGTCTGTCTATTATAGTGTTATTTGTAATGGCAAAAAAAACCCAAAAAACCAAAACTGTAGACAGTCTAAATGTTAGACATGCCCCTCATCAATTAAAAAGAATGGAGAAAGTCTCCAACATATTAAAAAGGGGTAAAGCAAGTTTAAAACAAAAAAACCAAAAACAAACAAACAAAAAAAAAATATATATATATAAAATCCCATTTATGCAAACAAAAAAAAGAACTTTGGGTATATATTTATAGATGCAAAGAAAAAGGTCTGAAACTACAATTAACAGTAGTTACTTCAAAAAGGAAAGTGGGTTGGAGTGGCTTTCACTTTTTACTCTATATACAACATATTAGAATATTTTACAGCAAGATTATATGATGTTTTTATTTCTAAAAGTAACTTAAAATGTTTAAATGTCTTAGCAATTTACCAGTAAGAACAGAGAGAACAAACTTAATTTAACTTTAGACTCTGCTAATTCTTAGACTGATGTTGTTTATCTCTGAGAATGAAACTGAAGTCAGATGCTTATGGATCCTCACAACTTGAGATAACCCTGTGGACTCCAGGGAGGAAAAGGTTATAGGGAGCAAATAACACACTGCAAAGATGTTTACAGAAGTGGCCATTCGGTTCTTTGCAGGCCCCTGGTGCTCCTTCTTTGTAACTCCTCAAAGAGGGGAAACGTGAGAAAAAGAGATGAGCTGTGGGCACAGCCTCTGCCTGGAAGGCTCTTGCGGTGCCTGGTTCTGGTAGAAGGGAAGCCTTTGCAAGTCGTTTTCACAAGGTGCCCTGCTCTGAGTCAGCACATTACTAAACAGGACTAGGTCCACCAAGAGGAAATGTGCAGTGACTAACCCCAGCACCACTCTGGGCCTTACTGTAATCAAAAGGATGTTGGCTCAGGAGGGTGGGAGTAATGAAAACAGTCTGCAGACTTGGCCTTTCTGCAGAATGGGGGGAAGTTAATGAAGCAACCGGCTGAACACTGACAAACATGGAGGGCAGGAATGCCGCCGCCTCCACAGAAAGAGCCCCATTGTCCTGTCACCTTGACTCTTCCTTGCTTCTCACAGAGGGGGCCACGGCCAGCGAGTACAAAGCTCTGATGACTGAGCTCAAGATCTTGACCCACATTGGCCACCATCTGAATGTAGTCAACCTGCTGGGAGCTTGTACCAAGCAAGGAGGTAAAAGCGAAGGGGAGGGCCTGCTCCATCTCCCAGTTCACACGCTAAGGGCAGAGTGCTCCGACACTCAGCTCCTTCTCCCCACACCTGTTCCTCCTCACCTCCTGGAAAATGGCTTTTCAATAGGTCCAGAGGAAAGTTTGCCCATTTATAAAAGGGGGCTCCCATCCTAGCAATGCCGTCCCTGTACAGTTTATGTGAAGGTTCTGAAGAGGACTCCCTTTTAGATCTCCTTCCACATGCTCTAGGTCGAGTAGAGGGCATTTTTCTTTGATGATGACTGGGAAGCCATATGACCAGAGATAAGGTAAATGCATAGAAGGCTGAGCATTCCTTGAAGCTTCACCTAAAGGAATGAGTGTTCTTAAAGGCCTTTCTATCCTTCCCTATGGCAAGGTCAGTGCTTGGCTGTAGATGTATAATACTACTTAAGCCAGAAAGACAGGCTGTAACGGGCCTGTGCGTATAAATGTTTCCAAGCTCACAAAGGTAGTAGAGATGAAGGACTGCTGGGAAAGACCTATCTGCTAGGAGTGGCAGTGGGCAGAGAAAGAAGCGAAGGGCCGGGGAGGCCAGAACTCGAGCCCTAGGGACCTAGACACAACCCACCTGCTTCCCGCCCATCCTTGAGTACTGCCAAGTTATAAGCTCGTTCTCGAGTTCTCTGAATTGGCAATCTCATTCTGTTCGCCTCAGTTTGCATCTGTAAAACTGACCAGGGCTTATCTGAGAACCCACCTCTGTCTGTGTGTCTGAGCTCTGTGTAGCCGGCTTCAAGATGGAAGGTCCTCCTGAGGCGAGGACTGCTGGACCCCCGAGGCAGGCACCCGCGACGAGGCGCACCAAATCCTCCCCGGTGATGAGGAGACATAAAACCTCTGGAGGGAAGAGGAGGCGCTGTCAGGATTTCTAACAGGCATTTTTAAACCAGCAAAGTCTTGGCAGAGACAGAACACCCCTCTTTCGAGGAGGCCCGGCCTCTGTGAGCCTGTAAGAACTAGGCCGCCCCGGCTCTTGGGCTCAAGGAATCCGCCCAGCTGCCCGCTCCCAGCATGCCCCAAGGCAGCAGCTCACAAGAGCGGCTCCGGGTTCATTCCCACTTTGACCCGGAACCGGAAGTTGTCCCTCCAGCTGCAGGCCTCGTGCCCAGCTCCCGCATGTAGTGGGAGCACTGTGCAAAGCGCTGCAGCCTTTATGGCACCACATGGGTTCCGCGGTGCAACTCAATTTTTCTTTTTCCCAACCCTCTTGTTTCCTTTTGATCAAGAATCAGCAAACTATAGGGCCAGCCCGTGACCTTAATTTGACCATTTTAAAGAGTTGGGGAAAAAACTCAAGAATATTTTGTGACATGTGAATATTATATGAAATTCAAATTTATGTTTATTGAGCACAGTCACTCAGCCATGGCTGCTTTCACACCATGAAGGAAGAAGTGGAGCTGTATGGCCTACAAGTCCTGAAATATTTACTGTCCTGCCCTTTGCAAAAAAGCTTGACACCTGCTTTAGCCCTTCTTATGAGCCCCAAGGCAAACGCTGTGCAGGTGGCCCTGCTGCTGGGGAGAGACAGGCCACACAGAACCGGCCTGTTTTCCGCTTTGGGAGGGAGGCGCTGCTTAACAATCCCGGGGTTGGTGCTAGTGTCCTGAGGCCCCTCTACTCAGTAGGGTCTGGCTAACAAGCGGAGAGGGTTGCTGGCAACTACAGGTGGAGCCCTGGCTTTGGCCCCTCGCCACCTGAGAGTTCTTTCTCTCCTTCTACTCTTTTCTTGTTTTCTGCCTCCCTTCTAACCCCAATTGTCTCCTATTCCATTTGTATTTTTTAAACCCCTTCTCAGGTTAAATTGAAACAAATCTCTCACCCTAAGTTGCATCCCTAGGTCCTGCTAATAAAAAGATAATTTGGTTTGAGGTTTCTAAGGCCCACTGAAGGCTGGCAAATGGTTGACTGGCTTGGTGTGGCTGAGCATGTGCTGTTTTGGCTGCAGGCCCTCTGATGGTGATCGTTGAATATTGCAAATATGGAAATCTATCTAACTACCTCAAGAGCAAACGAGACTTATTCTTTCTCAACAAGGTAAGTAATTTAGGGGTTGGAGGGGTTTTGTTTGTTTGTTTGTTTTTTAAAGATTTTTATTGGGAAATTAGGGGATGGAAACAGCGCTGGGGAATTGGGGGAAGGGGAACAGACAAGTTGCTATCCTTTTGTTCTTCAATCTAGTTGTGGAGGATGTCGTTTCACTGGCCCAAGTTGGCACCATCATTGCGCTCTTCCTAGATGAGGCAGATCGGTTGCCGGCTTCTGGACAGCCACTCACGCTGGCTGCTGGCTACTCACTGTAGCCCATGGCAACCCACTGCAGTAGGGGCTGCAGCCTACACCACTGCAGGGGACTCATGGCAGCCCAGCTCCAGGTTGAGCTGTTGTTCAGCATCTTAGCTGTAGAGGGCAGTGTCACTGGCCCTCATATGTGGGATCCGAACCGGGGCCCTCTGGCATCCCAAGCCAGCTCTTAACCAACGCGCCACTCGGGCGGCCCAGTCACTTGTTTCTTAAGAGAAGATGACAGCAAGTATAATTGTCTCCATTTATTAGATTAGAGAAACTAAGGACTCAATCAACTGTTGACTTTATAGTGAACAATAGACAAATGATGGGGCCCAAGAAATCATTTTCTTCCCTTCCTACTACCCTTTCTCCCACTTCCCCACACCCTCATCACCCTTGTCACCCCTACACATACACCAAACCAGTCTTATCCACTAAAATAAAGCTATATAGTAAAATGAGCACATGGGTCCAAGTCCTGAAGGCAAACCAAGTTTAAAAGAGATAATCGAGGGTCAAATATATGGTGATGGAAAGAGAACTGACTCTGGGTGGTGAACAAACAATGTGATATATAGATGATGTATTGCAGAATTATACACTTGAAACCTATGTAATTTTACTAACCATTGTCATCCCCGATAAATTTTAATTTTTAAAAAGATAATTGAATGGAGGAGAAAAGAGTTTAAAACCTTACCAATGTGACCCATGCCACCAATATTGTGTCCTTCTCTGGACTGGAGAAGCTTGGGAGACAATGAGTAAACGTTAGTAACTGATAATTAGCAATGTTGGTGATGAATCCTTGTAGTGTGGTGGTTAAGCACTTGGACTCTGGAATCAGACCTCCTGGGTGTAAATCCTGTCTCTACCACTGATGAAATCTGGGACCTTGGCCAACTTACATAGCCCCTCTAAGTTGCAGTTCCTCATTTATCAAATGAAAGTAATAACAGAACCCAATTCATGGGACTGCTGAGAATTCAGTTAAGCACTCAATAAATGCTAACAATCATCATCATTATTGACCCACGGAGATAGAAAGATCAGGCGAGCCCAACTCAATGCCACTGACCTGTATGATCTCTATAATTGGTGAAGTGTCCAAACTCTAAGAATGGTGCCCATCTTCATCACGTGGGCAACAGTTGTCACATGGCACACAAATAAGAACACTGGACAGCTGGCCCATTCTCTCATCTCAAACTTTGATCCAACCAAAAGCATGGGTATCCTAGACTAGCAACATGCATGCAGGAACGTATTTTCCCCAACTTTAATTATGCCCTCTCATAATCAAAATCTTAAAGCTGAAAGGGATCTTGGTGATCAGCTAGTTCACACTCTCACATTATAGATGTGCCCAGAAAAGTCAAGTGCTTGGCTTAAGGACACAGTTTATCAGGAGATGAAGCCGGGGAGAAAGAACCCATCTGTCTTGTCTCCCCTTCCTGTGCTTTTTCTGTGTACTGCATTGGATAAGGAGGAAAAAAAGAAAAAGAAAAAGTGGGAAGTGGTGCCCTGCACCGAGAGCAGTGCAAACTCCCTCAGTCCTGAAATCCTGGACTGCCTTCAGGAAGAACAAAGCCAGCAGAATACCCCAGAGACCAGGGCAGGATGGAACGTTTAGGTTCATGCGTCCTTTGTTTTGAAGAGTTTGCTTCCTTCTCGGGCTATATTTAATGATTTGCCTCCCTGTTGGTGGAGCCTGGTGTTTTCGTGGAAAACACATGGCTGTATTTCAGATTTGGAACCTGAAGGAATATAAAGAGAAGGTGAAGGAAAACCCAAAAGGCTAAATAGAAATGGGATATTTTATTTCCAAATAAATTCACCAGGATCTTTGAATATACATCTGATTGGGAGTCAGGAAGAGAGTGAGGGAGCTTAAGTTATGGTCCTTGGAGACATGCCCCAGGCTGTGACTTCTGGGAAAGTGAGGAAGAAGGCTGCCCAGAGTGTGTTGTCATGGACTTGAGCTGTGAGTGGGCCTGTCCAGCACTTTTCTCTCCCAGCACTCTTCCTTCTGTCTTGGGAAGGGTCTTGTGAAAAATAAATTTCCAATCCCCAACTGAACAGAATCAAACCTAACTGCCTCAGGGAGACACAATAACAAAGGGTTATATTCTTTACCTGCTCTCAGGTAGGTCACCTGGGGTGGCAGTGGGTGTTTGCTCAGAGGCCTGCCTCGCCTTCTGCAGCACAGGAGCCTGGTACCCAGCACACTTTCAGAGTTTGTCAGGCTGTCCCTCCTGAAGCTCCCTCCTCCATCCTCAGCTTGCTCCCACTGTGCCCTCTAGTGGAAGGATCAACCTACTTTGTGACATTTCTAGGAAATGCCAAGGAAGGTGGCAAGCCCGGTTAACCCTAGCACTGCCACAGCATGCTGGAGGATCGAGGGACACCCCTGAACCCCAGTCCCTCTCAGCCCCCTTTTCAATACTGCCATTTGGCAGAATTGAGCCTAGGTACATGGTCTCGTCATGAAGCCACTGGGTGTGCTAAGTTTCTATTGTCACAGTTGTTAGATGAATTACTAAATGTGATAAATCTTTTCCGGTTCCACATGAACATTCAGAACCAACAACTTTTTTTCTATGAGTCAAAACATAACAGGATGATAGAGCTTTCCACATGAGGAAAATGAAACCCAGAAAAGTAAGGTGATTTGCCCAAGATCACCTGGTTAATGGAAGAACCAGATTACACAGAAGGCCTTGGATGCCCAGTCCAGGATGAGAGGTCTTTCCTACCCCTATTAGGATCAAACTGTATCTTTATTGTCACTGGTGGGAAGAAAAAGAAATGTTCCTTCCCCAAGGAAACCAGAGAAATGGGTAACTGCAGCCCTCTCTTATTACTCCTCACAGGGTTTACAAAGTGAAGCCCCAGGTTCACTGGGGAGCCTTTTCTGGCATTCAAATCATCTTGTACAAGATGGCGCGTGGTATGGAAAAGCAGTTAAGGGCACAGAGTCGAGTTGGCCAAACTTGGGTTCAAGCTTTGTCATTTACTAGTCGCATGTAACTTTGATTACTTCACTTCTCTGAACCTATTTCTTCATGTATAAGCAAGAACTACTTCATAAAATTGTTGGAAAGATTAAATAAGAAAATGTACCTAAGATTCTTACACAGTGTAAGTGCTCAGTAAATGCCATCTGCTATTAATATTCCTTTATCTTACCTAAGATGCTGTCTACAAGACCAGTCAAAAGTAGAATAGACTCCACAACCCCAAGGAGTAGCCAAGTAGGGCCCTTGCCTGGTCACCATAGGGCCCTTGCTGCTAATTTGCTGTCCATTTCGTGGAATGACACTCCCCCAACTCAGGTGACTGCCAGCTTGAGGGACTGTCTTCCCCATTGGAGCTACCTTTCATCTGTGTCCTTGGTCTGTTCAAAGGATGCAGCATTGCACATGGAGCCTAAGAAGGAAAAAATGGAGCCAGACGTGGAACAAGGCAAGAAACAAAGACTAGATAGTGTCACCAGCAGCGAGAGCTTCGCAAGCTCTGGGTTTCAGGAAGATAAAAGTCTGAGTGATGTGGAGGAAGAGGAGGGTAGGTATTAATTCCTTCCTGTCCTACAGTCGGAGATATTTTTACAACATACTGTGCATCTCTGACATTTTTTTCTTACTTATCACCCTAATAAACATCCGTGGGAGACTCGAGGGGCAATGTCCCGAGGAGATAAGATTTGAATTAAGATTATTTACAGAGTTACTAATTTTGACAGGGAACTCTGTACAATTGTCTCCTCTCAGACCTTTTGTCTTAACACATCACCCCCTCCCCCCACGCTGGGGTGAAATGGGCTGGAGGCCTGGAAAAATCTCTGCTACTCATACTAAAACTCAAATGCTCTTGAAAATGAACTCTGATCCACTTGTTGGTTTGTTTTATGTTTTGCTAACGTCGTTCCAATCAGCTGGGACGCGGCGGGATAACAAGCGCCATTACAAACAGCTCCGGTTTTAATGCTTTCCAGATTCTGACAATTTCTACAAGCAGCCCATCACTATGGAAGACCTGATTTCTTACAGTTTTCAAGTGGCCAGAGGCATGGAGTTTTTGTCTTCCAGAAAGGTCAGCCTTGCTCTTACTGTTGTCCTTCTTTGCCAGGCCTGGACATGGGGACACTCCCGTGGACAAACACATGCATTTGCTATAAATCCACTTTTTTCAGTATTTGCTTATACTTGCGTCCTTAAATGTAGAGTAAACATCACGGTGAATGCCTTCATTTATCCTCATATGAGTGAGGACTTTTGACAGGACGAGTCTTAGCAGGGGCTAGAACTTAACTGGAGAGGAACACCTCACTGGGGTTCAGACTGGAGAAACCTAGACCCCGCTTCCCACATTGCCCTCCTGCGTCTTTTCAACACTGACCCGAGTCTCAGAATATACGATTGCACTGGAGGGCTTCTGTTAGTCCGTCCTGTGGGGTCCCCCACAAACCGCAGCTGGAACTTCACAGCTCAGGGTCAAAGGTTGGGGGTCGTTTGGGTCACTGGGAGAACTGGATGGCCAGCACTGCTGACCAGGACACTCACTGTCCTTCACAACAGTAGCCGAGCAGCTTGAGGCCGGCCTTGACTCGGGGCTCCAGGGCCCTGTGTTTATGGTAAAGCTCCATGTGCACTGGGGGTGGCTTCCGTCATGTAACGGATCGTCACATGAAGAAGAATAATGACACTGAGAGCCGCAGGAAATTAGTCAGGTGGATTAAGGAAATGCATTGATTATGCTACTGTTTTATTACAGTGCATTCATCGGGACCTGGCAGCACGAAATATTCTTTTATCTGAGAACAATGTGGTGAAGATTTGCGACTTTGGCCTCGCCCGGGATATTTATAAGAACCCAGATTATGTGAGAAAAGGCGATGTAAGTCAGTTTGATGTTTATTTGACTCATTTATACCCTATCATTTTTAAAGCACAGACTGAAGCCCATGGTAAATATTTACACTTTCTCGGCAGTGGTCCCTGAAATCCAGCGTGTGCTTTGTGAAGACAGGCAGCCCAGTGGGCTGTGTTCCAGGGAGCCCTGTGTGGGGCTCCGAAAGGCTGCCTCTCCTGGCTCTGTTCTCCCCTCACTCCTGGTACCTGCCCTCTGGGCCACACTGCCTGGGATTGCGACCCTGAGAAGTGTTTAGCAGGGCCCTGGTGAGACCATCTCCTCACCTTCCTTTGACTCCTGTGGGAGTTTTCTGAACCACAGGACAGAACAGCCTGGACTCTTTCCTACAAATAAACCCGGATGATTGATTCAGCAGGTGTATATATCTCAGGAAAGGGTGTGTGGGGGGGATATTAGTTTTATCTTGCTAGCGAGGAAACTGTCCGCCTCCCACAGCTGCCTTCCACGCCCTGGCATCCCCCTGCTAGCTTACACCGGTTTCTCTTCCCTGCTTGTTTTTGGACATAATGTTACATTTCACTTTTGTTGGTGACCTCCTGTGTCCTTTCTTCTCCGGCCTGTACCCTGAGGGCTAAGCCTGTGTCAGGGCTCTGCCGATGACTCTGCAGCAGTGTTTCTCAGACTCGGTGAGCATGCGCATCACCGGAAGGGGTGCCGGGCGCCAACCCCAGAAGTCCTGATTCTTTACGTCTTGGTGGGGCTGCGACTCTCCCTTCCTAACAAGTCTCCAGGTTTTGCTGACACAGCTGGGCACGGGACTGTACTTGAGAACCACTGCCCCCCAGTCTCTTTCTATAAAGGAAAACAAAAACAAACAAACAAAAAACTAACAAACTTTTCCTGGGAGCCCCGATTTGCAAAGATGGCATTACCTATGTGTCAGTCTGTCCTCTTCTGTCCATCTATCTCTTTCAGCCTCTCCCTGCCCCTCCCCCTTGCAGTTTTCTTTGTCTCTCCGTTGTCCCATACTTCCTGTCAATTCCCATTCATCTAAAGTGGCAAGGCCTATCTCACTGGGGTTCCTGCTCCCTAGAAGAGAACAAAAATTTGTCTGCATGTTTGAAAACCAGCCATATGGTCTTTTAAATACTGCCTCTTGCTTTTCTTCTTTCCTGTGCCTCTGCCCACTCCCCCCATTTAATGACTTTCAAAACCCTGTCTTTTTACTTAAGAATGCTCTTCAAAATCCTCTTTCTTAAGAAAAATTCCTGGAAATCATTGATTTTCAGGATGTCTTCTAATTCAGATCACTCTTTTTCAGGTTCCTGTGGAGTGCGAGTTTTTTGAGGGACAAGGATTTCTTACAGAGTCATGGAGTTAGGACACGATGGACATAGGAGGGGCTTCCTAAACATTTATTATCTTCATAGGAATCAGTGCAGCACACAGCTCTCCCTTTTAGTCTAACACTGAATGAGACGAGCTTTCTCCGTGTGAGGAAGCCATAACTGCTCTAGGAAATGATTTCTGGGCCAAGTGTTATCTGGGAGGTGACCCCACGGGCACTTGGGTTGAATGTGCTTTGTTTGCATGTCCTTCTGCTCAAGGCCCCCTTGCCCTTTTCTAGACTCGACTTCCTCTGAAATGGATGGCTCCTGAATCTATATTTGACAAAATCTACAGCACCAAGAGCGACGTGTGGTCTTACGGAGTGCTGCTGTGGGAAATCTTCTCCTTAGGTAAATTTGGGGGAAGGAAGGGATCACATAGCCCAGAACCAAATGTCTGCTGAGAATCCTTTGGAGAGATACAAACTTTAGGTCAGCATCTAAAAGAACTGAAAACCCTCCCAGAGGAATGGGTCCGTGTAGAATCTCAGATGAGGAATGGTGCATGTATATGTACCCTGTATCTGAAAGATGCTTTATATGAACACCAACAAGGTTAGACCAGTATAAAACCTACAGTCAAGTTTACCTTCAGCAATCAGCTACTCCTTTCTCTGTCTTTTGTCCCCTTCTCCTAATTCCTCAAACACCTAGATTCCTAATGCCCTCCCCTCAGTATTAAGAAAAGCCCCAACAGGGCCGGCTGAGTGGCTCAATTGGTTAAGAGCTCGCTCAAAGGTTTGAGCTCTGAGCAACAGCGGTTCGAGTCCGGCCCAAGCTGAGCTGCCGCTGAGTTGCCAACAGGTGGCAGGACAGCTCAGCTTAAAAAAAGAAAGAAAGAAAGAAAGAAAAGCCCCAACAAGCAGAGCTCACCCAGTGTTAGGAACAGGAGACCTTTCTACAGCTGCTAATATTAGCACAGCTAGTATTAGCCTTGGACACCAGTTTATGCGGGATGATAGTCCCTCATTATTCTGCTTCCAGTAACATCTATTACAGGTGTCTAGAAACCTTGTTCAAGGCCCCGAGTGCACAGATGTGCACGGAGCCCACATCTGCTTGCAGACACACACTGATGCTCGGAGACCTCCCAGTTGTGGGGTCTAGCCAACAGTCCTTTGGACTTTGCCAAAAATTTGCCTTTCAAAGCAAATAAAAGTCACCCAGTAACATCCCTGGTTTCCTGTAATGTGTGAAAATCATTCCCCTGCTTTCGATGACAGGCACCTGTTGCTTCCAGTCTTTGAAAGCAGCTTGGCGGCTACAGTGGCCCCGCAGTGACACAGCGCCAGCACTGCACGCTTCCCAGCTGCTTCCGACCAGCAGTCATCACTAGAAAGTGCAGACAAACAAATGTGGAGATAGTCGAGGTTCGAGGTCCGGGACAGAGCAGACTGGGAGGCCGGGCTCACCCCTACCCGCCAATAATCCCCCTAAAAGGAAAGGTTATGTGGGTGCTGCACAGTAGGACTGGCAAGAGGCAAAGTCTAGGCCCCCCTGGCACCCCCACAGCAACCCCCACCCCACACCAGCCTACTTCTGGAGCTTAAGGCCCCCCTTTCCTTCAGGCCCATCACAGCAACTGGTCCTCTAGTTCTGTGAGAAGTTTACAAGAAAGTAGTGAATTAAAATCATTCTCACTGAGGTGTGAAAGATCCACAAGTGACCTATTCCAAGTCCATGGGCTTTTTTAAAAGAAGCTCATTAACCCAAGGAATGAGTCTCTAATGATGGGATTTCTTTAGGGTTCCTTGTGGTGAGAGGGAAGGGACCCTTCAGATGTCACCGTCTCTCCCGACCAGATAGGAGTAGCCATAGGAATGGTGTGGGGACATCAGACACCCAGCACCACAAGACCCACCCACCAAGCGTGTCACTAGAGAGGATACGCTGAGCTTCAGTGTGGGTTGTGTGTGGAGATCCATTCCAATCTCTGGCAATGTATTGCTAGACCACCCCTTTAAAGGGAGGAAAGGAACACTGAATTGCCTGCCCCCTTGGGCCTTCTGTGCCCTGAAGCTGTAATGTGCCTGTGCTTTCCCGTTGTCTCGAGCAGGTGGGTCTCCGTACCCAGGAGTGCAAATGGATGAGGACTTCTGCGGCCGTCTGAAGGAAGGCGTCAGGATGAGGGCTCCCGAGTACGCGACTCCTGAAATGTGAGCCCGCATCCCCCTCCACCTCCACCTGTTAGCTCTTGCCCCACCGGACACCTCAGAAAGGGATGCCATGTTGATTTTTAGAATCCCCGTCCTGCTCAGCCTCTGCCAGGCCCAGGTGTGCTGGGAGTGCTTTCCAGAAATGAGGCACCTTGTCCTGGATCCGCCCTCACCTGCTTTCTTTCTTGAGCACTGACGCAACTTTTTAAGGCCTCTGGCTGCGAACTGAAGTTAGAGATTCAATTTCTAGATATGAGTCCAGGCAAAACTAACAGACCACCGAGGAACTGAACGCCAAACCTTGTCTTCCCTCACAAAGGGGGAGCTGAAAGAGCAAAGCAGCGACAGGGACCAAGGGCTAGAAGTTGCTACTGACCCGTCCTCCATGCACACTAACGACCAATGAAGGGGTCTGTTTTGGGAGGCAGGGGAAGAGGTGCAGGAGAGGAAGGGGGTGGTTTCCTGACGGAATTAGTAGTTATGCTCCACAGGAGGCAACGTGGGCTAGAAGACTTCTCTAGACTTGTTTTAGGAACAAGAGGCTCAGCGGCTGTCTCCAGCCTCTTCTTGAAGTGGCTTCCTGCTGTGCAGCCCTGTGACTCCAGGAAGAGGACAGGCTCCGAGTGAAGGCTCCCTCCATTGTTCAGACCTTACTCGCCCCTCTTGGACACTCTATCTTCCTGAAGCCTTTGGACGTTTTGCACTTTGAGCCCATTGCAGGAATGCGCTGACACTGGCAGTTTTGTTGAGCTGCTGACAAGGACTTGGGCCTCCCCAGGGCGGCACCACCTTTCCTGAACTGGCAGGCTGCCCTCCCCCATCCCACCCACACAATGGGGTCCTGTCAGAAACCCTGGGATGGCCTTTGGTGCGGAGTCTAAGGGAACGAAGGAAGTGTGGGCTTGGCCAAAGTGCAAGGTCACTGTCTCTCCTTCACGTCTGGACACAGGGCTGGGTCAGACCCAGGACCCTGGCGAGGAGGACGGTGAATGGGGCCTAGGAAGGCAGGGTTAGCAGCCCAAGTGCAGCGGGAGCAGGGGACCTGTCCTTGTCAGCCTTACACGGTGTCCTTATCAGGAAAGCGCAGGGAGCTTGAGGCAAGGCTCCTTCCTGAGAGCGGGAGACAGATAAATTAGCCCCAGGACTGCACTGGGGCTGTCGTGTTAAAGGCATGGAGAGTTTTTAATTACTTGCTTCCTTTTATGTGATGGAGCGGAGCCAACACCAGGAGATCTAGTTTAAAATGAGGTTACTTTGCGCCTGGGAATTTTCTAAGTGTTCCCCCCACCCCAGTGGTCTTATTTGAATTTCCCAGCAACCTTGAGGAGCAGGCAGGCAGACATTATAATCTGAATTTGGTGAGTAATGAAGCTAAGCCTCTGAGAAGTGAACTGACGTGTCCTCCGTCAGCAAGGCAGCAGAGCAGACAGATTTAGAAACCCGTCCTTTGGGTCACAGGACTGTTAAGTGAGGAGTATAGCCCACATTCCTTAGAAATGTTTCTCTAATGTGTCCACTCATGTTTCGAATTAAACATTTCCTTCCACTTTTTACATGATCTGACAATCACAAGAGCACATCCTATAGTACTAACAGCACTAGTAAAACCTGCTGTTCTTAAATAGCAACATTTAAAAATGTTTAGTAACTAGTTATTTAGTGCTTAAGTGTCAAACACTGTTTTTAGCACTTTTAACATATATTAATTTTCCCACTGCTCATAACCCTATAAAGTAGGTACTATTATTATCTCCATTTTATAGGTGAGAAAACCAAGGCAAGGAACTTCTAAGTGACTTTCCGCGTCCTAGTCAGTTAAGCAAACCCAGCCTGAATCCAGGGTCCACACACCGAGCCACAGGCTGTCTCCAGTTCTTATCCCGCTTCTGGTCCAACATAACGCTAGGTTTAAAGTCAAGTCAACTTTGGACCAAAGACTCCCTCGGACTTTATCAAATCTTCGGGTCTTCACATAAAGCTCTCCCGGGTAGCACTTGTATCCCACGCAGCCCACAGAGAGAGAAGATCATTCCTCAGTTCTGGGGGTTTATTTGGAAATTATAAAAAGTAAGAAGCAGCTTCATGAAATGTTGGTTCAGAAGGCCAGAATTCAAACCTTCAGCCATTCTCAAGCATTTGAAAGCTGATGGAGAAATTTCATCTTTGTTCCAACAGTGGGAAGGCCGGGGTGAGGACGAAGTGTAGCTCTCAGAACTGGGATTCTGGACCTGAACTTGGCCTAAAGTGGTGTGCACTTGGGAAAGGAAACTCTTCTCACAGACCCCTCACCCCCCAATCCAAGGGGGCTCTTGTATTGGGTGCACCTGCTGTCCCTCTATGAAGCCTATTTGCATCGCGATGTCAAACTAACGTTGGGTCCTTGGTTTTCCGTCAGATTTAATCAGATGTCTTTTGAGAAGAGAATAAGCAGTGAACGTTTTGATTTTTTCTTCTTTTCCTTTGGTGTTTGCTGAGATAATTTCATTGAATTTAGGCAAGAGAAGTAGAAACTGGACATCAGAAACCAAGAATCAAAATAAAAACCAGCGAGTAGCTGTAGGTGGTCCCTCTTGCTGGTTCTTGCACCCAGGCCACTTGCTCAGGGTAACATGATGCTGGTTGACATAAGCATGGGGCCACGGACCCCATACCCCCACTCTTAGGGTCCCCTTTGTTTTCCTGGTTCGAGCCTTTCTTGCATTGGCTTCCTTTTATAGATTGTCTATGTATATGTTTAATGTTCTTCCAATGGCCTCCGAGAATCTGCTCGTTGCCAGTGATGAAGGAGCCCCACCCGATAAACTGAGCCCAGGGCAGTGGTACCTGACACTGCCTCCCACATCACACTCATCAAAGGGCCCTCACAGCTCTCGGAACCAGCTGATCCACTCCACACCCCCTGGGAGTTAGGCAGAATAGGCCTAGTAGCTGCAGTGCAGAGGTGGGAGAGAACCAGGGTCATGTTCTGAGAAGAGTCCTGACCCATAGGTTTGCACAGAGGTAGGAAGATTTGCGACTCAGATAAATGACGTTTATGAGCTCCTATCTCTTACTCGGAGACTTAGGACACCTACTGAGTGGGTGCTTCAGAAAGCAGGACTTCAGTGCCACCTCCCAACTGTGAGGAAAGCCCACATGATGCCACCACTGTCCTGGGCACCTAGAATTTTATCCATGGGTTAAAGCAGAACTTTAGAACACATACACCTGGACCACACTGCTTTGCCTCTCAGAATTGTTTTAAGTGAATGGTATCATTTGCTGTTAAGGCTTTAGCCAACATTGAAAGACAATGTACAAGACAGTCCCATGAAGTCATTATCACCTGGATGGTAATGATGTTGAGAGGTGTCTAGGAGAGCCTCGTCTCAGATGCCCATTCTAGGAATGGCCATGCTTCTTCCAAGTAACTGGTTTGTTTTAAGCTCTTGGCTTATGTGCATCATCTCATGACTAGGCCTTCTTTTCGCCAGCTGCCTGGGAGCTTAGGGCACTGCCTCTATCAAACCACCCAGAGTCATGTAAATTTTGCATATTAACTTTGCCTGCAGCTTCACCTTTTTTTTCATCTTTATGTTACCTTCTCCCTGATATTCTTCTTTTCTGTTTTTTTAACCCCCTATACTCTTACTGTCTTTACCAGCCACTTCATACACTTTGAAACAAAATAGGGATATCCTGAAGAGATGCTTGGAGCTGTTGGTGCAACCTGAGAGCACATAGCTAAGAAATGACAGAGGTCAGATGAATGCTGGAGTTGCTCAGGCTTCTAGCAACATCCCGGTCCCAGCACTAAAGTAATGTCCGCAATATGGCTTAAGAATTTGTGGAAGGAGCAGCGAGCGCCCTCTCTTCCCAGAGACCGGTCTGGCTTCCTTAAGCAAATCTTTACTGAGTGCTTATATGCCAGGCCCTGGGCGAGGTCAGGACTCTGCCCACACAGTGCTTACAGCTGGGTTCTGACCTAGTGCCAAATTCTGAGCCCATTCAGCTTTTGATCCGACTGGGTCAGAGTCCTCTCTAGTCCAGAGGATCTCCTGTGAGAAGAGATTACTTACAATAAACATTTCCTGAGGAGAGCAAAGAGCCCAAAGAGTAAATCCTTAAGCCAGTGTACGCAGGGCTCTGGCATGTGTCCTGCGGATGGAGGGAGAGAGTGGGGGGTGGGAGGGGGAGAGCCAGTAGAGACCTAAGCTCCCTGCAGACAGGACCAAGAGCAGAGCCCAGTATATCTGAGACGTCAGAGGAGAGGAATCACACAGGGACCCTGCTGACAGTTAAATCTCAGCTTCTGTGACATTAAGATAAATGTTTTCGTGTCCAGAAGCTCAGCCTGTACTTTTTGCCTTGAGTGGTAGGAAGCCAGTTTGTAACGGCAGCGTTGAAATGCCGGGGGGGGGGGGACCAGCCACATGCAAGGAGCATGCACATAGCCCAAAGAAATACAATCAACGTGGACTTCCACGTATTAGAAGTGACATGCATCCTGTATGCAGGGCCTTCTCCACCAGTGTCCAGTGAGCTCAATAGCGGAACTGTGAGGACTTGGAGAGGCCACATGCTCATAGGAAGCCCAGGCCGACCTCCGGTACATCCTGAGCAGGTATTACATACTGCACACTGGTCACCCTTTGATATTTGTGTCTATGTTGACTTTCTATCTTTAAGGAGGTTGTCCTGCTTTTGATGGTGAGGGGAGAGCTACACTTCCTATGTAACTGCAGATGAACAGTGGTGTCCCCTCTCTAAAGAGCTCTGTTTGCTTCACAGAATAACACCCTTCCACTCTGCAGGAACCGAGTCACTCCATAGAGCTTGGGTTGTAATGGGCTCTGGAGGGTGCTTTGTTAGTCTGCCCTGGTAGACACATTTTCCATGACCAGCAGGACCTGGCCCAAACAGCCTCTTATGTGCTGGTGCCACCCTCCCAAACCTGCAAATGAAGGCAAACCACTTGACAAAAAGCATCACTTTGCTGATGTGCTACGTGGGGCGATCTATATAGCTCCACTGCTCTCCTGCTCTTTCTATTGTGCTTCCACCCAACAGCTATCAGATCATGCTGGACTGCTGGCACAAAGACCCCAAAGAGAGGCCGAGATTTGCAGAACTTGTGGAAAAGCTAGGCGATCTGCTTCAAGCCAATGTGCAACAGGTAAAGCTAAATTTATCTAGAATATCAGAAGTCAAATGCCTTTGAATGTAAGTCAAGGGGGTTTTCACTTGTTGTTTTTAAAGCTATTGATAGCTGAGGTTAGCAGTCAAAAAAGTGTGTGTGTGTGTGTGCGCGCGCGCGCGTGTGCACACAAAATTGTTTTTGCAAAACACAGCTAAGATTGTGGAAATGACATAGTTGAAGCTGACATAATGTTTCACAGAAATAGTTTGAAGTAGAAATTTGTGCAATTAAAGCTGTTGTCTTTGATATTTTAGGATGGCAAAGACTATATTCCACTAAACGCCATACTGACAGGAAACAGTGGGTTTACATACTCAGCTCCCGCCTTCTCAGAGGACTTCTTCAAGGAAGATATTTCAGCTCCAAGATTTAATTCAGGAAGTTCTGATAATGTCAGGTAGGATTTCTTTCTTTTCCAAAATTTATATTACATAATTTTCAAATATACAGAAAAGCAAAACCTACCTCCTAAATTTAACTGTAGGTAACATTTAGCCCTATTTTGTCCATATCAACTATATCTGTCTCTGTATCTATATCTCTATATGTCTATACACTCCATCACGTGTATTTTTCTTTTTGCTGAACCATTTGAAAGAGGGCTTAAGGCACTGTGACACTTTACCCCTAAATACTTTGGTATACATCTTGTGAGAAGGACATTCTCTCATGTAGCCACACCAAAATTATCACAAAGAAATTGATAATTGATGGAGAACTGACTCTGGGTGGTGAACACACAATGTGATCTATAGATGATGTACTACAGAATTGTACACTTGAAACCTATGTAGTTTTGCTAACCATTGTCACCCCCATAAATTTTCATTTAAAAAAAAGAAAGTTGAGCACAAATCTTGATACAAAAACAAAAAGAAATTGATAATTCTCTAATATTGTTAAATATTCAAATCTCCCCAAATTTAAAACAAAAAACAGCAGGATACAATCAAGAATGACACATTACAAAAATAAATAATAAATAAATAAATAAAAATTTAAAAACAGAAAAAGAACAACACATTGCCTTTTCTATAATTTCTTTAGTTTCTTTATCTTATTCTAGAATTATTCTTCCTTTTTTTTTTTCCCCCAGTGGCACTGGCTTTATTCATGAGACCTTAGATAAAACTAAAACTAACTTCGCTTTTGTTTTCGTGCCTGATAAATGAACATATCTGTCATGACTGCAGGGGAAACTAGAGAAAGAAGTGAGGAAAGAAATGTTCATTGAGTGCCTCCAGTGGCACTGGGGGGATCAGCACGTTAGATCTAATGGTTACACGGGTATCACACATGTGCAGTACTAGTCACGTGTAACACACACACCATTACTAATGGTTCCGTATGTGTCATACACATCCAGTTCCATGTCACGCAGAATGCTGTGTGGTCGGCACTGTGCTAGGCTTTGTGCCTACACCCACTCCTCTAATGCCCCAGACAGCCCTCTGAAGATGTTACAATTCCCCTCATACAGGTGGGGACATTGAAGCTCCGTGGAGGACAGCTTGCCAAAATTGGGTGGCTAGAAAGTGGCAGGATAGAGCTTCTAACCAGGTTTTCTGACAGTCCCTCCCTGTTCCCACATAGTCAGGACTCTTTAGGCCTTGGGCCGTCCTGAGAGCCTTCTCGCATCTTCATCTGCAGTCAGCACAACCCTAGGCTCTGCCTTCAGTTCAGCCAAATGTGGCAGGTGACCAGGGAAGGCAAGGGCAAGAGCTACAACAGTCTGAAAAGACTGACCGCCACCTATGACAGGCCTGGAAGCCCAGGGCCCTGGCTTGTGGCAGTGGGTTTCTGCTCATACTTCACAGCCAGCCCAAGAAGCAGAAACAGTTGAGTCATCCATTTTTAAATATAAGAAAACTAGCTTGGATTAAATAAATTGGCATGGTCTGACTGGGTCAGAGAGGGGTTGGGGAGGAAGTGACAAAATTATTGGGGCCCTTCCAGTCCAGCATGTTGCTCAGCCTTGGCCCTAAGGCCCTAAGAAACTGGACCTGGCAGACAATGACGGGGCACCAGAGTGAGAGACTCAGTCAATAGGTGAACTTGTCTTATATCTCCGACAGCCCTCCTAACACACTGCCAACAACAGGTCAGGAGGCAGTGCAGGGAAATCACAAATACCACCATTTCTGTAACCACAGGACAGAATGTACCAGACCAGCCCTAGCACTCAAATACACCATTACATCAGCTGTGGCCTCGCCTGGGCATTTTATTTGTCCCCTCACATCCTTTTCGAGGTAGGCAGCTACATGATAATGTCATATCACTTCTCTGGGCATCATTTCTCTCCTTTGTAATATACGGTGTTTAGACCAGGTGATGACGCAGGCATGACATTTCCTGATTCCACAAGGGACCAGAGGCCTAACCACTACCGACTCTCTCAAGCATCCCCGGGTTTTGCTCAGTCTGCGCAGTGTGGATTAGCAGCCATGGAAGGCAGTGGCATCACTGCCAGGGCCCTAGGGGAGCACAGCAGGAGAATTTCAGCCTCAGGAGGAAGTTGCTTCCTTCTGGTGTTTTGGTTCACCTTAGCTGGGACTCGGACCCATGATCTCCTGACCAATGAAAACTGGATGCATTTTCCTGTCCTGATTTTTCTGTCTGCTTCCTCCTTAGATATGTAAATGCTTTCGATTTCATGAGCCTGGAAAGAATCAAAACCTTTGAAGAACTTTCACGGAATGCCACCTGCATGCTTGATGTAAGTAAGGGAATTAACCTACTCTATGCACCCCAGCAGGATCCTTTACCAGAAGCCATCCAAACAAACTCCAGCAGTCTGGCAGCTCTCAGTGAGTGGGGGCTGAAATGACAATTTCAGGGGGACTGACAAGACCTAGCTATACAGCGCTTATTTGAAAGCAGCTAACTCCATAGTTTGAAGATGGCTCAGAATTCACTCCAGGGCCTAAGTCCTTGCCTGGTTGTAATTTGTCCCTTAGGAAACTTCACTGTGTGTTTCTAAACTTCTTTTTTTTTTTTTAAGATTTTATGGGGGAATTGGGGGAGGAGAATAGCGCTGGGGAATCAGGGGAAGGGGAACAGACAAGTTGCTGTCCTTTTGTTCTTCAGTCTAGTTGTGGAGGACGTTGCTTCACTGGCCCATGATAGTATTATCATTGTGCTCTTCCTGGGTGAGGCAGATCAGTCACCAGCCACTGGACGGCCGCTCATGGCGGCTCTTGGCAGCTCACTTCGGCTGCTGGCCGCTCACGCTGGCTGCCGGCCACACAGTAGCTTATGGCAGCCCATTGCAGCAGGGGCTGCAGCCTACGCTATCGCCAGTGACTCACGGCAGCCCAGCTCCAGGTCGAGCTGTTGTTCACCATCATAGCTGTAGAGTGTCACTGGCCCTCATGTGGGATCCGATCCGGGACCCTGCTGCTCAGAGCTGGTGTCCCAAGCCAGCTCTTAACCAACGTGCCACTCAGCCAGCCCTAAACTTCTTGACTATCAATGATGGAACCCTGCTTTCCAGGGAGTAGAGGAACTCAAAACTGTGAGTGGCTGGGCCTTGGTGACGTCACACAGACCGCTCTCCCATTTGAGTGGCCTGAGACCCTGGAAGCCTGTCTGGAATCCAGGCTGTGCTCCTCCCCACGGAGGGGAGGCTCACAGCGTGTTCCCACCTGGCCACCCTGGGAGGAGCAGTCCGAGCAGCAAGAGGGCTCAGCCAGCTCATGTGTCCGTGGTGTTTAGAGAGTCAGGGAGGCGGAGGTAGGCAGGGAAGGAGTGCCTGTGGTGTCACAGACCCCTCCACTCAGGTGACCTCCAGATGAGCACTGTTGCCACTGATTGGACCGGAAATGCTAGTCCCAGGACCCGCCCACTCTCACTGAGTCAGGCTCTGCACGGACACAAGGTCCCCAGGGATTCAAGTGTACGTGAAAGCTGGAGAAGTGCCCATGATGCCCATGTCCCACAAAGGGCCTGGAAAAGCATCTACAGGGCAAACAGCGCTGCCTGTGACATAGCATTGCCACCCTGAAAACACACCAAAACTCCCACAAACACACCAGATAAAGAGGAAAAAAGGATTTAAACATTTAAAAACCTCACAATTAAGCTGCAGAAAACAAAGGTGGAATAGCTGGAAATTCAGTTTTGCTGCTTAGTGCGTTGTTTTTAAGTCCAAGGGCACGATACTGAGGAAACATGGAAGACCTCTCTCAACCTCACCCTCCCCACCCTCACGTGGTAGGGAACTAGGCGGCCGCAGAGGCCTCAGTCACTGGGAAAAGGCATTTCTTGGAAGTGACCAAGTTTAGATTTGCCAATAGAGAGACAGTGCTTTGTCCTAATGGGCCGGGGATGTGGGAGGTGAGGACATGAGGACAGCCTGTAGTGACTTCAGCGTGCATCCCCCAGGTCATCCCTGACTTGGCGTGGGGTCTTCTGGGTCAAGCAGGAAGTGTAACCTCTTCCCTCTTCCCCGCCAGGACCTCCGGGTGAACAGGGAAGTTCTTCCGGCCTTCCCGCTGCTGAAGCGCTTCACCTGGACCGAGAGCAAACCCAAGGCCTCAGTGAAGACCGAGTAAGGGACTTGGCTGTCTTCTCTATGGTCGATGATGGAGGGGCGTGGGGAAATGCTGGGAAGGTGGTTTCATGGGGACATTTGAGAGCTGATTGCCCTCCTGAACCATAGTGCCCAGGCAATACAGAAAAATAGTGTTTTCCCCAGAAGGGCAAGAAGGAGGACATAAAATCAGACATATGAGCACCAAGCTCTAGGAAGGAAGATGGGGGGTTAAGAAGAGAAGTTATGCAGAAAGTCCCAGGAGAGACAGGCAGCCAACCCATGAATCACAGTGCTCTGCAGAAGGGAGCCTGTCTGCCCTACTGTGAGCAGTGCAACAGCGGACGGAGCTGTGCTACAGGGCGAGGCGAGCGGCTCACCGTTATTAGCCCTGGGCAAAGCGTTTGTACCAGGGTCACGTGCTGTTTTCCAGTCCTAAGACATGACTTCCTGAGACCCCTTCCTGTTTGACCCTGCCCCCTCCCACCCTTGGGTGGTCCCCAACTGCCACTGTCAGAATTATTTAGGCCCTGGCTTTATAGTGCACTGCCCTGTGCATCACTTCAGGTCTCTGCTGGTTCCTGCCCGGGGATAGTGCTGGGTGGGGAAAGGTTGGGCATGTCAAGCACTCCTCCCTTCCTTCCTTCCCTGGTTCAAATGCCTGCCTGTCTCACCCACAGGCAGAACCCGCACTTCTTGCATCTAACTCAGGAGTCAGCGGACTTTTTCTCAACAGGCCAGAGAGGAAACATCTACTCAGCCCTGCCCCTGTAGTATAAATGCAGCCCCCAGGCAGTGCCTAAGCAAGTAGGCATGGCTGTGTCCCGATGAACTTGATTTACGACACAGGTTGGCCATGGCCAGTGGGCACATGAAAAGGGGCTTAGCATCGTTAGTCAGTCGTCAGGAAAATGCAAACCAAAGCCACAGTGAGATGCACTTCACACCCACTGGGATGGCTAGGATCAAAAAGTTAGTGTTGCTGGGGATGGGGAGAAGGTAGAACCATTTCAGCTGTGGGTGGGAATGTAAAGTGGAGCGAGCAGCAGTTTACATTACAGAATGGAAAAGAGTGTGGCAGTTCCTCCAAGTGTTAGGTGAGTCACTCTGTAATCCAGCAGTTCCACGCCTTTTGTGTGTACCCAGAAATGAAAACATGGTGACACAAACACTTAGATACGAATGTTCCAGCAGCATTATTTGTAATAACCCAAAGTGGTAACAACCCAGATGTCCATTAGCTGACGGATGGATAAGCAAAATGCAGCATATCCACACAATGGAGTACTATTTGTCCATGAAAAGTATGAAGTACTGATACATGCTACAACGTGGATAAACCCTGAAGACATTAGGTAAAATAAGCCAGTCATAAAATACCACCTACATAAGATTCCGCTTATAGAAAATGCCCAGGCAAGGCAGGAAGGAGACCAGTGGTTGTGTAGACTGGGGTTGCAGCGTGTGGGGAAGAGGAGCGACTGGGTATACTGATGGTTTTTGGGGGTGATGAAATGTTCTAAAATTCTGTGTGGTGATGGTCGCACCATCTGTGAAATGTTAAAAATCACAGACCTGTACCCTTTAAATAGGTGAATTGTATGTCAGTCCTATCTTGGTAAAGCTGTCGTTTACAATAACACACAGGTGGCCAGTGGCTAGCCCACAGGCGGTACTCACAGACCCCGAGCTAAACCAGGAGGGCAGCACATGCCTCCAGGTGATATACTGGGTTGTCGGAAAAGTCATGACGCATTTTTGCAACAAAAACCAGAAAAAATGTCATGATTTTCCCGACATCCCAATAGTTAACACAGCCCACCAACCTCACGTAACCTCAGAGGACAGGGACACTGCAGGCCAGCTCCTCCTGTGTGTTTCCCTTTGCCCACCAGCACAGAGGTAGCGCCAGAGTCCAGCACCCTGAGTACTCAGGGCACAGGTGAGGGGGGAGTGGATGGGAAAGGGCAGGGTCCAGTGCTCTGTTGCCTCTTGTTTGGGAACACGTCAGAAAATGGGTGGCCACGTGTGTCTACATCTTTGTGAAGAAAGGAAAACCATGCATTGCATTCTCTACTCCGAGACTGAAAACACGGAACGTGGAGCAAATGCTTGTTGTGCTAGTTCAGAACCACCCCCAAGTAATGCGATGGCGCACAGCTTCTCTCATTCTCATCCCAGCTATTAGAGGAAAGTAGCCATGAAAGGACAAGAGAAGGTTTTCCTCCTTGTGGATCTGTCAGGCTGGACATAACATATAGAACCCAGACGCCAGTGTCTTCACCTTGGAGCCTTGTTCCTCATATACAGGCCCCAGACGTAAAGCTTTCTCTTCTAGAACACAAACATGAGAGGGAGACATTTGCATGAACCTTTTTGTATGAAGCTCTATTCGTTTCTTGAGGCCATTGTTAACAAACGACCACAAACTTGATGGTTTAAAACAAGAGAGAGTTTTTCTCTAGCAGTTCTGGAGACCAGAGTCTAAAATCAAGGTGTTGACAGGGTCCTGCTCCCTCCAGAGGCTCTGGGGAGAATCTTTCCTTCCTCTTCCAGCTTTTGGTGGCTCCAGGCATTCCTTAGCTCGTGGCCATGCTCATGTCACCCCCTCCTGTGTCTGGTTGGGATTCTCCCCCTGCCTCCCATAGGACGCACGTGATTGCCTCAGGGCCCACCAGGGTATTTCAGGCTGAGCTCCTCCCCTGAAGACCCACAACTTAACCACATCTCTTGCCATACAAGGTGCTATTGACAGGCCCAGGGGTTTGACATCACTATCTGGGGCGTGAGGAGCATTTCTCAGCCTCCCACAGTAGCTAACCAGCTCAAGAGGGGAGGAGGGCTGTACCTGAGTCTCGCAGTCATTTTCTACCTGGAGTTATGGATTTGCATGATCTCATCACACACCCCACGCCCACTGACCCCCAGCGGGTAGCGGAGCGGCAGGGCGCAGCTCTAGAACAATCTGACCAGGGGCGAGATGGGCTTCAGGGATCGACTCTAGGACCATTGTGCACAAATGACGCGTTATGAAGGAATGGACCTGAGTGTTTGCTGTCAGGAAACCAATGTTGGAAAGAAGAAATGTCGTTTACGGACTGCAGTGTCAGCTTCTGCCCGGGTCTACAGCCTGCTCTTCTCGATAGCCTGCCTAATCGATGTGAACTTTCCTAGTCAGCCTCCACAATGGCATAAACTAACTACTTAAAATAAATCTCTCTCTCCATATTTAAAGAAAAAGAAACCAATTTTGTACATGTGCTTTTTTTCTTCTTTTCTTTAGCTTGCGAGTGACCAGTAAGAGTAAGGAGTCTGGGCTCTGTGACCGCCCCAGGCCTACTTTCTGCCACTCCAGCTGCGGGCACGTCAACAAAAGCAGGCGCAGGTTCACCTACGACAACTCTGAGCTGGAAAAGAAGATGGCGTGCTGCTGTCCTCCCCCAGACTACAACTCAGTGGTCTTATATTCCACCCCACCCGTCTAAGGTTGCACGCACAGCCTTATTTCTACAACCACATGTGTATGTATGCCCAAAAACTAGCTTTTGCCAGTATTAGCCACATATAAATGTATACCTCTATCTTTCCACAGGAGCCAACTGCTTTTTGTGATTTTCAATAGTGCTTTCTCCTCTTGACTAACAAGAACGTAACCCCAGATAAGCAGAGTAACAGTGACAACTGAAGACCACCCCTGCTGGACCCTCCTGTGACTCAATGTTAGAGAGCCTTCCAAGCCCAAACAAGTTGCTTGCGCCTTCCCGAGGCCTCATGGCACAGAGCCTTGGATGGCTCAGGGGGCACACTGGCCACGCCAGACGGCCCAGAACCAGAGGCCACACACCTTAGGCCGGCCTAAGCAATGCCTGTGGGTCCTCTTCAGACGTGACATGTAAGGAGAAGGAAAGAAGGGAGGCAGGCAGAAAACAGGACAGGGCATGAGAAGGCCGTTGAGCTGGACCACATGCGAGGGAGAGGGAGAGGGAGAGGGGGCCCTTCAGGCTTCCGAGAGTCCAGCCGGGGGCACACAGGACAGAGGGGTGAAGATATTTTCTGGACTCTGGGAGACAAGAAAAGGACAAACACTGTTTGGAACTACAAAGCACATTTTAAAGCTCTAGCTCCAGGGCGGGTTCTCTGCCCGTTCTCACATGTGGCACATTTGTTATTTCCAGCACTGAGGATGGTGCTCACATCTGAGGCCAGGCCGCTGGCCGCTCCACACTGAGAGCTCACCCCGAGCCAACTGGCCCCCTGGCCTGACACTTGGCATAAGGCTCCTCGTAAGCTAATCGGAATGAGTCTTGTCTATTAGGGTTATGTTGGGCTTAAAGCCACATTTTAAACAAATAACATCAGACTCTATTTTGAGTGTTAATGTATAGTCAAGACACTTAACTCAGTGTTTTGTGTTAACCTGTTTTGTACAGTTAGTTATAAAAGGAAGCCGAGGAAAAGTGCAGTCTTGTGGAGGATTTTCTCTACACCAAAACGAGGACAGATGGAATTTAAAAAGATAAGGCGAGTGAAAAACCCCATCTTGATACCAAGCAAACCAATTCACTGAAACAGTTGGGACCTGAAGGATAGGACATCAGTCACGTTTCCTTTTTATTTAATGGGTATTCCACTATCTCATGTTTGTCTCCTGGGAAGATGTGTTAGAGCATTAACCAATGTTTATTAAGCACTTTATGCTCCTTGAGAAAAAAGGTGATATGTAATTTACGTGAGATAATTCTAGAATTGGGACTCACGGTATTAATCAGCCATCCATAGGAAAAAAGCCTCTTTTCATGGGCTTTGGACCTTGTCTTGGGTCTGAGGATGATGGAAAGGGGAGACAGGGTACAAAAGGGGGACCGCTGTTCAGGGTCTAAGAACCCCGAGCTCAGCTGGCTGTTTGACACTCGCTCCTTCTGAAGCCAGTCAGAGCTGGACAGGCAGAGGGGGTTGTTGCTTCCAGTAGAGGAGAGTATGCTTCCCTTTATGCATAGAGCTTAACTCTAGAACCTGAAGTATAAGTAACAGAAGAAATTTGGCTGCCTTCCCTGTGTCATTGTCTGGTTTCAAGGTTCTTTGAAGAGATGGGAGAGTCAGCACCTCCCCAGTGAGACGGTGGGGGCGAGAGGGGGCCTGCAGCCAGCTGAGGAGCCAGTCAGGCCTCTCCACCAAGCACCAGGTCCCAAGAAAATCAGGCCAGGGCCAGGGGGAAAAGCTTCCTTCTTCTTTACATGCACAAAAGCACCTGTGACAACTGGCAGTAGTGTAAACCAGGTAACCAGAAGGAGTTACACATGGAGAAAAATGAAAGACCTCAATTAATTCTCTAGTTTTTTCAAATTGGATAGAGACCAATAATTAGTGAAAACAGAAAAAGACCTTAGCTCTCTGTGTCATGTCTTGATTTCAGTAATCTAATTCTTTTTTTTTTTTTTTTTTTTTTTTTTTTTTTTTTTTTTT